TCACCAGAGAAGACATACAGATGGACAAGAAGCACATGAAAAGATGTTCAACATCACTAATTATTAGAGAAATACAAATCAAAACTACAATGAGGTATTACCTCACACCGGTCAGAATGGTCAGCATCAAAAAATCTACAAACAGTAAATGCTGGAGATGGTGTGGGGAAAAGGGAATCCTCTTGCACTGTTAGTGGGAATGTAAATTGATACAGCCACTGTGGAGAACAGTATGCAGGTCCCTTAAAAAACTAAAAATAGAACTACCATATGACCCAGCAATCCCACTACTAGGCATATACCCTGAGAAAACCATAATTCAAAAGGACACATGTACCCCAAGGTTCATTGCAGCACTATTTACAATAGCCAGGACATGGAAACAACCTAAATATTCAACAACAGATGAATGGATAAAGAAGATGTGGTACATATATACAACAGAATATTACTCAGCCATAAAAAGGAACGAAATTGGGTTATTTGTAGAGATGTTGATGGAGCTAGAGTCTGTCATACAGAGTGAAGTAAGTCAGAAAGAGCAAAACAAATATCATATATTAATGCATATATGTGGAATCTAGAAAAATGGTACAGAGGAACCTATTGCAGGATGGGCATAGAGACGTAGACATAGAGAACGGATATGTGGACACAGGAGGGGAAGGGGAGGGTGGGATGAATTGGGAGATTAGGATTGACATATATACACTACTATGCGTAAAATAGATAGCTAGTGGGAACACGCTATAAAGCACAGGAAGCTCAGCTCGGTGCTCTGTCACTACCTAGGTGGGTGGGATGGGGGGGTGTGGGAGGGAGGTCCAAGAAGGAGGGGATATAGGTATACATATAGCTGATTCACTTCATTGTACAGTAAAAACTAACAAAACATTGTAAAGCAATTATACTCCAATTTAAAAAAGAAACATATGTTAAATGAAAATCATGAATTCATATACATTTTTATCTATAGATAGATATTAATTGATGATAGATACATACATATATACATACATACTATATCTCTTGGTCTGTAGTTACATAGATATAATCTCTAAATCAATATCAGACAATACTGTCAAGAATAGCACCTGTGGGTCCTATCTTAGTGAAAAAAGAATTATCATCAGTAATTAGTATGTTGATTAAATGTATAGAAATTAATTTTTTGGAGTAATTTTTAGATACCTAAGTACATTTAAATTTCCCAAGTATTTTAATGACCCTACACCAATGCACACACACCCACACACACACACACATTTTTATTTATACTTTTCATTTGCTAAATGAGATATGTCTATTAATACCAGAGACTTTAGCATAGCCACTCTCTGAATTATCTCAAGATCTGAATTAGTGGGGTTTGAATGAATCAGTTTCCATTATACAGAGGAAATATAACAAAGAGGAAAATAAACATCTTTGAAATGGAAAAATGATATACATCAAAAAAGGAAATAAAATCACATAAAGTAGAAAATTTGAAATACCTTTATGCTAAGCAGATAAAACAATATGGCATACCTGATATTATTCTTCATTTTTAAGAATTTACATGTCAAGCTATATGAATAAATAGAGAGCTCTTCTCAAATCTAAGCATGATGACTTAACCATTTCTAAACCTTTTTACTTGCATTTTTTTGCTTGCAACTGTTGGGGGGAAATAACAATTTAAAGGCAAAAATAATATACAAAAACATCACTATATTTAAAAAGCGATGTCATGATCATTGCATTTAGTTACCCTTAAACCCCATTTTCAAATTGCAAACGCAAAGAAATAATATAAACAAATGGAGAACAAGTTTCATTTACTTAGGCAAACTCAGTAGGGTTCAAAGAGGCTTCTCCAGACATATGACATTGAAACAGAAGATAACAGCAGACTCTTATCAATAATTAATTTGATAGTTGTATGTAAAATTATACAGAGCTGTAAAATATTATCTCTTTCTTTACAAAAAAATGTTGAGACATAAGGACCTGAAACAGGAAGATACTATAAAGCATTTTAACAATCATTTGGGGAAAAAAAGGATAATTCTCAACCCATAACAGATCATATTAAAAATATCAACTGAATTCTTCAAAAGTATATTTAAGTAAAATTAATGAACGTTAAGTTTTTAATGGATAGTAAGTGTAATGCCAAATATGAAACTTACTGATAGCTAAATTGAGAATTGATTCTATCTCAATTATCTTTGCTAATGGAGGAGTGAAGAAGTGTGTCTAATGCAAAATAATGCATAATCCCAGAATTATTTCTACTTGGCTTACAGAGCATTTTTCTTCTTATATGACTGTAAGTGAGTAGGATATCCTTGAGCATGTAAAATAAATTAATGTATTCTAAGAAGAGAAATTACTATAGAGCTGTGCAGATTCCTCTTCCTTCCCGTTTAATGATTTTTCTACTGTCTGCTATTTAGACTGAAGTATTCATGCCTTTCCCTGCTCAATCCTTTATCTATCTCTATCATCTCATTCTAGGCACAAGCAAAGGGTTATGAATTGAGGAGTGTTTTTTTGTTCCAATAATTCTCATTGTGGTAAATCCAAGTTGTAAGACAGAAGGCCAAGGCTCTAATCCAAGGAAGGAGGCTCCGTTATCTTGTAGGAATTGAAGCATACATGCCAAGTAAATTAGGAGGGGATGAAAACCTCAAACTGGATTTTAACATTTACTATAAGACATCATGATGATGAGGAAAAAGTATGAGCCCTGGACTTTAAAAGACCTGGGTCTGAAACCCAGTTCTGCCACTCAGTTGCTCTGTAACCTCAAGCAATTAATTTAAACTCACTGAGCCATACATTGTTTACTTGAAAAATGAAGACAGTATTCATAAGGTTACTATAAGATTAAATGAAGTATATATAAAACACTTAGCACCCATGTCTGGTACTAATAGAAACAATATATATTACAGGTTTTTCTCAACAGATAAGGTACCGAAGTTTACTCAAGAGTACATTAGCCTCAAAGCAATTATAAAATCCTTTTTTTCTTCCATCTACACAGGATACATCTTTCATCAGGACACAGACCTGATTATTTACGTGGTACTGATTCTAGGCTCTGTCAATGTATTTTAGAAGTCAATAAATACATTATCGTTTATTGAGCACCAAGGTAATATATTTCAGGCACTGTTATGCCCTCTATATTCATTTATATGCACAGGGCTGCTTTCTTCTTGTATCAGAATTTGTTTATAAATATTTAAAGTCTAAAAAATCATTATCTAATCCCCAAAGCCTGAGTCTCTTCCTAAATTCTCTATCTTAGCTAATGATATAATCATCCAACTTATAACCTAGTCTAGATATGAATCATCCTAGATTTCATCCTCTCGCTCTCTATTTTGATCAGTTATCAAGTGTGATTAATTCTAATTATGAAGCAACTATGAATCTCTTTTCTACTCTTGAATTCTCCTCAATTCAGGTCCTCAGTATTGCTCCCTTCATTGCTACTTACCTTCAACAGCAATTGTTTTTAAAGCATTTACTCAGTTACTTATCAGTGGTTCCTTTTACCTACAGCAGCTTTTTTTTTTTTTAATTTGAACAAAATCCTATATGAAATAGAACATGTAAAATTCTGAGGCAGAAGTGGGGAACCTAGAAGTACTTCCCCAATCCCATGTCAGCCAGTAAGGAAAGTCCTTGAAAGACCCTTTGGAAAACCATTGGTCTATAGGGAAAAAACTGTTAAACAAGATAGCTTCACAAGCTGGTTTTTCCCACTCTTTCTAACTGTAACTGTAACTCTAACTCTAACTCTAACTGTATCACCTATAAGTCTCCCATCTTAAATCTCTGCTCCAGTCTCTTCCACTTAATTGCTATTCCCCCTAGCATACCAGGCCCTCTGTCATCAGTGTATATCTGTCTACAGAGGATGTTTTTCCTCTGATTCTCCATCCGTCCAACACTCAGCCTATAAGACATAACTCAAATCTCTATGAGCATTACCCAACTTAACAAATTGATTTAGTTGCTCCCATTCTGTGATATTATAGCACCTTGTATGTACTTGTATTATAGTCTCTATCATACTTTAATGAAATTGAAATTACTAGTTTACATGACCTTCTCCCTAATTCTACTGTGACAAGGACTATTACTCATATAATTTTGCATTACCTAGGACCTAATACCCAAAACACATTAGGTTTTTTTATTTTTATGTATCATTGAAGATACAAAGATCATATTGTCATTAAATACATTTTCTACCACATAGTAGCTTTAATGATTTTTAAAGGTTCAGTAAGAGAAATAGCAAGCTTTTTTTTTTTCAATTCTTTTTTTTAAATTGAGGTATAGTTGAAAGCTTATTTTTGAGTGTTTTATGTGCTTTTATATTCTTTGTTTTAGAGAATCAAAAATGCAAATTTATGAGACTGGTATTTTTAGGGGAGTACTGTTTATCACAGTGTTCGATGAAAAACACTGAATCATTATTTAAGACAATGACTACTTGTACTTTCTTCTTTTCTAATCATAAGGTACTACCAGGGATGATGCATATTATTTCTACATTTTATCCTAGAGTAATAACATGGAAAAGATACACAGATGCCCAGAACTTTTGGAAACAAAAGGAATATTATTGAGACATATCAACAAGCAGGTATACTACATCCCATAGGAGGCTTTGAGAAAATGCTAGTTTGGCCAGTCCCCCCCACCCCCCGCCATCTCTGCCCACAGCACACAAAAACATACATACATACACACAATAAGGCCTTGAAAGAGATTTCTTACAAGGAAATGACAATTAATTTTTAAGTCATGTCCATTTGATTTAAGTCACTGGAATAACAAAACTGTTTTCATGAATAATCAAAAAAATTCAATAATGTAACCTCTAGTAGAGCTTGAAAAGCTCTGAAGGACAAGGCAGTTAGATCAATATTAGTTCATTTCAAATGCTGGGCAGTATGAAGAGACAAGGCTGATCATCGGATGGATTTTATTACCTGTCGGAGTGATAAGTCCTGGTGATAAGAGGCCTGGAACTGAATGGGGCAGAAGGCGAGCATTGTCCTGCAACACTCCCAAAGAACGCTTAGGAGGCCTTCCAGGCCTTGAACTGTTGAAAAACAGACAAAGATCAGGTTAAAATATGCTCTTTGGAAATACCATCACTTGCTACATTCACCTAAATCTTGTTTAATTGCCAAGAATGATAGAATTTTATATTAAAGACTATTTTCATTGATTACTAAAGGACCAATACTTTATACTAAACTTCCAAAATAATTATGGCAAGCATTAAAACCATAAGAGATCAATTTCTAGTTTAGATTCTATTTACAAGCCAGCACTTTGCAATACAGCTTACCTGTTGTGAGAAACCCAAAGTTACCCCTGCTCTTAAAGGTACACTTGATCCCTGGTATTAATACATGCAACTGAGATCTGAGATAGGGGCTCACAGAATTAGGATCATATAGAATGTAAAGTGATTAAGTCTCTGCTCAGCATGCCAGAGGTGAGGGGTAAAAAGCTGATATGTAGAATAAGACCTGATGTTTACTAGCATTTCCACAGTTGCTGGGAGCCCACAAGGAACAAAGAACACCTGCCTTCAGGTTTCTTTCATACCTATTATTTAAACCAGGCTGTATAACCAGCAGTACACTCTCTCGGAGTGGCTGTACTAAGGAAACCTGCCACCTTTGCAATCTAGGCTGTTTTGTCTCACAGATTGATTGGTATTTTTAACTGATGAGTTGATGCTAAACTTAAAACATTAACCTAACCTATTCTATTTGCACATTCTTCACCCAGGTGTGAACAGTTTGCAGTTGCAAATGTTAATCCATAAAATAATGAAATAGAAAGTCAGTACCAGGCTTCCATCTTGTACCCTAATACAGTCAGTGTACTAAATATATCATTTAGAAGGTGTCACTACATGAACAGACTTATAAGTCACTGAACATTAGGATCAAGTCATTCTCAAGTCATGCAGTATATTTCAAATATTACTTTCTTAATGTTACTTAAAATACTGCTGTTGCTTCTTAGTAGAAATGCAGTTTACAAAGCTGAATAAGAGGGATTTTGACAAAATACTGCAAAATACTATATTAAATAACCCAAGCTGCAAAAATGTATAAGGTTCAGATAGAGAACATTTCCAAAAATGACTTTTTGTTCACAAAGAAATTTAAATTAAACCTCATCCTATCAACTTTGCAGTAGCAAAGTGCTCCATCAATGTAAGACAAACTCTGCTTTTAAATGAAGACGATTTCTAGCAACCTTATACAGAGGTACTATTACCCAGTTCATTTTTCATACACTGTGCTGATGTTATTTTCTTTCATTGTACATCAATATTGTATATCAGTCTAGCATGAAAGATTCTTTTTTTCTCATTTAATGTTTCAATTTTATAAACTGAATCTCCTCTCTCTCTTTCTACTCAAGTTTGGGCTATAATTTATTTTCTTTAATTCAGTGTTGTTATCCTGTTTGTCCTTGCCCTGTTTTATGGCTTCCTAACTCTTTGAAGGAATAGTGATAAGAAAAATATCCAATTTACTTCAAATGCCCTAAAGGATCCCAAGGTCACTGAACAATATTCATCAGGTTATATCCAGTCATTAGAAAAAAGCACTTTTTGTTGAATAATCGTCACCAAGTCTGTACTTTCCAAGTGATTCTTTGTATCTTTCTATTTGTCAGAATTCAAGCCTACTAACTTTATTAAAGAGCACCTGATAACTCTTTGTACTTTTCCAGCATAAAAATTTCAGTGCTGTCTTTATGCTCATAATCAATTTCAGACAGGCTATCTCCAGAAGAAAGCAGCCTGATGCTCACTCTACTTTCCTGAGACAGTTGTTGACAGTATACTTTGGAAGCTATAAGGTTTAAACAGTTCTGTTCCAAATTTATTGGTCAATCTCACAATTTGAGGTAGCTCTTTTCCAATAAGCTGACTCAGGCTTGGGGGGCGTTAGATTACAGGCCTCTTAGTCTGATGGTTCTACCTTAAATTCCAAGATTTGAAAAATTTGGTCAAATTTCCCACCATCAGATCTATATTGGGGAATTCATGGCTAATGTCACAAATGGCTTGGTAGTATTTACTACAATTGCTATAAGCCAAGAGGATCATATTTGCCATCCGAACATTATTTTCAGTTTATAATTTTATGATGTTGGTATGATTAATTGTGAGCCTCCCCAACTAAAATGTAAGGTCATGAAGGCAGCACATATGTCTGTTTTTGTTTGTCACTGTACCCTGAGCAATTCTCATGGTGTCTAGCACACAGTAGGGGCTGGTAAATGGTTAATTAAAATCAGTTAATGAGTAATGATAGGACACATTATTTTGCCACAGCTACAGTTTCCAAATATTCCTTAGATTGCTCTATTATTGATCAAATAAATAGAAAGCCATCATTTAATCATCAGGTAATCACTTTTAAACTTTGGTCTTTACAGCACTTATAAGAGCTTCAAAATATGACCCAGTCCAATCTGACTATTTACAAGGTTAAAGAAGGGTAGATGATAGATACTGTCTTATGTCTGAAAGTTCCTACAAACTTCAAGACCCATTCAAGGGCTGAAGGTTCCAGCAGTTATTCATGTGTAACGACAGTTTCACTTATTCAATCATCCAATAAACAAACATGCACTAAGTGCCCATTCAGTGTGTATCTGGCATTGAAACTAGGTAACAGGGTTACAAGGTTAAAAAGTTAGCTTCACAAGGGCAAGGGTTTTGGTCTGTTTGTTCATTGATATATTGTGAGAACCTAGAACAGCTTCTGCCTTTGAAGAGCTTAAGGTCTGGTGATAGAGATGTGTGTTTGACCTGCTATTTAAAATTTATGATTAACTCTTTAATGAGTATGGTTGTGTGATGTATCCTTCCAAACTTGTTTAAACTTATCAGTGAGAAAAATCATATCCAGATGCCTTTGTTTATACTCTTGGAAAGAAGACTTGGGCCCCTAGGGTAAACTAATTAGAATAAAATTTGTGAAGGTGCTTTATAATCAATAGAGCTCTATACTAATACAAGGTAGATTTATTCTTACTTTTAGACCAAATAACCCTCAGTAGTAAGACATTCCTAGCAATAAAGTTCTTGCATTTCTTTTCAAAGAATACAAGCCTGACAACATGACGAAAGACTATGGAGGACTCTGTAGAAAGTTGGGAAATATTCTTGATAGATGATCTTGCCACACTTCTTATCTTTAAGAGCTTTATTAGCATTAGGCATATATTTACATATTAATCAAGACAAATAAACATGTGGTGATTTAACTAGAAAACTGTTATTTGGATGATAATTTAATCAGCATAGGTTGAAAGGTTCACCATTGCAGCATCCTGTTTCTGCTAAAATATTGATTGTGTTACTGATTTCAGTAATGCTTTATTTTACAGGGCACAAATAACCATGTAATTACTCTTTAAATGAATGATGTTGGCAATTATTTGTTTTCAGTTTAATTACAAGGTTATTTGTACTTTGTAAAATAAAACAGGCCCTTTTTAAAGTTCCCACTCAAATGTCTCAGTGGATATATCACCCATGAGCACCATAAACGAAACTTTATGGTACAAGGCAAACAACCCGCCAAAATAACAAAACTCTTATTTAAAAGCTCAGCTAAATCTTTGAGATCATCAGCATTAGGTGTAACATTTATAGGTGGTTTGGAAGGAAATTATACCAAAGAATCATGATTTTCTCTGGGTCCAGGTCATCCTATAACATAATTTATCCTGATATGTATTTTACCCTTCACTCTGTAAACTTCTTCAGAAGAAATGAAATAGTAACTCAGCTTCCTGCGATTAAAGAAAAAAACAAATTGAAATATGTATCAACAGTATTTCATTTTTCTGCAGTTAAAGTGGATTACCATCAGAGCGTTACCTCAAAGTTTATAATCTTTGTAGAGTTGATGGGTCCCTAAGAAAGAAATTCAGTAGGTCTTCTGGTGTCAACAAGATATGACACAGTCTGTGAAATATCTATTCCAAGTTGTAATAAAGTAGCTGATATTTTGCTCATTAAGATTATGAAATTTCACTGTTGGAGTTATTTTTATCTTGTATCATCAGCCATTTGTATATGAATCAAGGAGTAAACAATTAAGTAATTTTATTTCAAAGAAAAAATCTTAATAAATTAATTAGTGATGTCATGAGACTTCAAGATATTTAATGTAAACCATATATGGTCAGCACATGATTTAGCAAGGAACCACAGTCATGTTATCCTCTTCAATGAAAGTTTGGCTTACTACTCTTTAAAGAAACACTCATAACATTCTTGGACAAACTGAGGATATAGTAGCAGTTAACTGTGGTATTAGCAGCAACTTATAAAGATCACTGAAATTGGATTCCTGAAGTGGGAGCTGCAAGCCATGACCTGGGATTCACTTTTCAGAGCCATCACTGATATTTAAAATCCCTTGGGACAGTCCCTGAATGTGTCATTTTTTTCAATTACATTAGAAGCCAAGAAAACCAAGAATGGCATTAGCTCTGAAGGTGTTGTTTACCTGACTGTGAGAATGCTGCTCTGACTTTTCAATATGCTTGTTAAATTAAATAAGAATCTTTCTATCAGAACAATAAGACTTTTAATTGCATTGCAGATTAATAATAATCTCTTAGGCCTGACATTTATTACAACATTTCAAGGATGCCAATAGTAGTTAAACTCTACCTGACCTTTCAGTGTTTATGAAGAGAAACAAACTCTGACCTCACAGCAACTTAAATCCATCTTCTCTCAGTGTTAGCAAACTGATCACTTGTCTAACTATTGCACTGGATTGTATTCTCAACCAGATCAAAGGCAGCATCAACCAATTCAGCACCCGGGAAAAAGTCATCCATGCAAAATGGGCAATTAACATTAATCATATATGAAATTGTTCAAGCTGATAACTGGAACCTGGTCACTATGGTAACTCTCATAAAATGGTGCTTATGTTAAACTGGGCATCAATCAGCTCTTGGTTTATGGGAACTTAAAGTGTGGCTCATCATGTCTCTAGCAGCTATCAACACAAGGAACAAAAAAACACACCAGAGGCA